AAATAAAAGGTATTCTGACCTAAGAGAACTCAGAACTATTTCATACACTTTGGTACTCAACACATTTATTTCATTTAATCATCAGTTTATTATGCCAGTTATTTACCTATAAATAGTTGGCAAATTAAAGAGTTGAGTGTTTTAGATTTTAGAGAGAAATCACATAATTGGTATTAGATTCTCAGAAATGGGTTAATAACTGTCTCAGAGTAACAACATCTAACCACGTAGAATCTGTACAAATTATATATTTCAAACCCCATCACTTGGAATCAACTACTATTAATATATTTGCTCTACTCAATACTAAAACACTGATTTTTTAAAAGAGGGGTGCGTGCGAATTTTGGTATGTGCGCCAAAAAATGGCAACTCTTTTTTTTTTTTTTTTCAGAGTAATTATAGTTCAGAACTATTCGTATGGACTACCTCAACAATTATCTCCATATTTTTATCACAACACAAACTGCGAAAGCAGTCTTCCCCTTTGCTGTTATATATGTTGAATTTTTCTATGCTACAGACACTGTCATTCTGGAAAGTCAAGTTCTCCTGGAATAAGTAAAAGAACGTATCTCACAACATTGTTAATCCCTATAAATTGCTTCTCAAGTGATGTCCAGTCTAGTAGAACTTAAGGCCAATCATTTAATTTAGAAATGTCAAATTCTAGCCTATGATCTTGAATATATAAATACTGCCCTTATGTTTAAAGGTACGTATTTGAAAGCTATCATAGAACAGTTTCAGTTAAATGTCAGCAGTCATACAGTGACTCAGAGGGTAACTGCATAGCTCGTAGAAAGCCATATGATTTTTCTTACCTAATTATGTGCACATCTGTGGTGATATTTGAAATTTCAGAGTAAGGAAATAAGACTTGAACTTGAGACAATTTTGTAAAACTTTTGAACAGCTTTGAGGTTGAAAGCATGAGGTTGAAATCATTGGCAAAAAAATGGGTTTTGGAACTACAGTTATCTACAGATTTCAATTATCCATACTACCCTTTTCTCCATTACCCCCTGAAACACTGAAAGCTGAACATATTAACTTTTTTAATTGATTTTTTTAGAGACAGAGAGAGAGAGAGAAACATCGATATGAGAGAGAACATCGATTGGCTGCCTCCTGCACACCCCTACTGGGGATCGAGCCTGCAACCCGGGCATGTGCCCTGCCCAGGAATCGAACTGGGACCTCTCAGTCCATGGGACAAACTCAGTACACTGAGCCACACTGGCCAGGCTGAACATATTAACTTGTAATATTATCTTTAGTCCAGAAGTACTTACAGACAAGTTGGAGTTTATCTATTACTTGTGAATTTTTAAAAAGTAGATCTTATGTGCTGAATTTCTGGCTTCAGTACTTGGCAATGTTATCTGTCTCTTTTCTCTCCCTCCTCTCCCCAAATTTTTACTGCCCTCTTCCTTCCCATTTTCAACTCTTTTGTTAAAGAGACCTAAAAACTCACTGTTGCCTACTCTCCCTTCAGATAAACAACAGAAGCAAAGCATATAATTTAATTTTAAATATTAACTGTTTCTACCTCATTCATAAGTTCTCCACCAGTGTTTGTGTTTTATTTTAGAGTTTATTAAAGCCTGTGTTCGACCCTTTGACCATAAAGGGTCATCTTAGAGTCTTGCTCCTTGGTATCAAGAAAAATGCCACTTTTGACTAGTCTGGGCAAATCAGAGGAATGGATGTTCAACAGATATTTATAAATAGTGTTTGCTTCTGCACACCATCATTAACAGTTATCATTTGGATAATAGAAAACCTTTTAATGGATCATATAAAGTTCACATTTTATTTGACACCTATTGGTATCACCTTTGCTTTTGTGATACATGTAGGTTCAGCATCAGTGGGACGATCAACAATCATATGAGCACATTTACACGAGCACAGACTGGTGACTTGCCCATGTTAAATGAAATGGCACAGCTCTGCCTCAGAACCATTTTAAACAAGAAATTAAGAAATAGAATTGGCCCTGGCCAGTTTTCTCAGTGGTTAGAGCATTGGCCCGCCAATCGGAGAGTCCTGGGTTCGGTTCCCGCCAGGGGCACGTACCTCAGTTGCAGTTTGTCCCGGGCCCTGGTTGGGGTCGTGTGGGTGGCGACCACTCCATGTGTCTCTCTCATTGATGTTTCTCTCTCTCTCCCCCTCCCTCTCTCCCTCCTGCTCTATCCAAAGATAAATGCAAAAAGGTCCTGGAGTGAGGATAAAAAAAAAAAGAAATGGAATCAAAGCTAACAAGGAGAGAAATGTTTACTCTGTCAGAAAAAAGTAGAATGTCACCTTGAATGCTCCTACAAGGTTATTTCAGCAACCAAAGGCATTCTTCTTCTTCTTTTTTAAATCCTCACTTGAGGATAGGTTTGTTGACTTTAGAGAGAAAGGAAGGGAGGGGGGAGAGACATGCTGAGACATGACTGGTGCCTCCCGCAGGCACCCCGACCCCCCGAGGTGGAACCCACACTTTGTGGTGTACGAGCCCAGGCGCCAACCGCGGGCACCTGGCTGGAGCAAAGGCAGACAACACAGCTGTACTCCTTAGTCTATGGCGTGGGTTTCTGTAAACTTTAGAAGTACACGAACGCTGGGTTATCAATATCGTCAATTCCACACACATGAACTGAGCGTGTAAGTGTGTCGGAGACTGACAAGTGCTGCAGATGCAGCTGCCGATCTCCGAACGGTGGCTCCCCACGGGCCGCCTCTCGTGGTCAAGCTCAGTCCCCGGGAGCCATGAAGTAGCATCAGCACCAGCCAGCCCGGCTTCGAGACTCAGGCAGGGGGTGCTCCTCTCGTGATTTACACGAAGCCCGAGTTGCTGCCCTCAAGCCTGGGATTGAGTACCCCTCTAGGGTACACTAACCGTGCCGTGGGAGGACCCCACGCGGTGCTTTCCCGAGTACTCTGAACTTTGGGGTGGTGGGGTTCGGGGCAGGACAAAGGGGACGAAAGGTTGCAGGGGGAAGTGATGCAAACGTTCCCATTCTGAGTGCTGGCAGCTGACCTTTCTGAAACACGGCCGGGCCAGGGTTCCTCTCTGGCACCTACAGTCCAGGAAGCGGGATCATACACGCTGCCCACGAGAAGCCGGCCGGGAAGGGTCGATGAAAAATCACAAGACTTGCAAGTGGCAGGGTTAGGATTTAAGCTCAGATACCCTGCCTCAAATGCAACACGATTCCTGGGGGGGAAAAGTAATGGATTTAGGTGACTTTTAAATTATAGTATTTCCAAAAAAATACTATAGGAAGGGCTGACACTTGAATAGCTGTAGTGATTAAGATAGTAATGACAGAGTCCTGTTATATCATTTCTTTGTTCAGTACCATTTTAAATAGCTTTTCAAAACATCGTAGATATTTTACTTTCCTTTAAGTTGACCTAACAGAGATCCAGAGACAACAACACCTTACAGAAAAGTAATCTGTCCTGCGACTTGAATGGAGTCTGAGGCCCAGGGAGGTGCAGTGTGAGTCAGGGTGACGAGCATGTGGAACATCCCTGTGACATTAGGGCCGCCAGTGACTCCTGCACCTCCTAAGGTATGCATTTTAAGTATGTGAGATTATCACTCAAACCATAGCAGCAGACTGAGGCAGGACTTAACAAACTAGTCGTTTTGGTCCAGATGTTCTTATAGGTTGTGCTTAACAGAAACATTGTCTTTTATTTATTTATTTAAAAATTTTTTTTTTTTTTTTATCCTCACCGAGGACATTTTTCCAATTTTTGTTCAGATAGAGTGTGAGGGAGAGAGAGAGGAGAGAGAGAGAAACATCCACGTGAAAGGGACACATCAAGTGGTTGCCACCAGCACAACCCAACCAGGGCCGGGGACAAACTGCAACCGAGGTACGTGGCTTTAGCGGGAACCGAACCCGAGTCTCTCTGGACCGCAGGTCAACACTCTAATCGCTGAGCCAAACTGGCCAGGGCAACATTGTCTTTTAAAGTAGCCCAAGTTCTGTTCTTAAAAGTACTCCTGATATTACAAAGTATAGGAAATAAACTCTATTTTAGCTAAATGCCTTCACATCTATGATGAAAGCCAGCCTTATAAGACTTTTAGAGAAAATTTTAATATAAATCTTATCAAATAAAGCAAGGCGATAACTATAAATCATAGTTTTAATCAAGAAGAGAAAATTGTAAGTTATTTCTTTAATAATTTCAGTTAAACATTCAAATGAACATTCTCATCCCAAGTTCATATCACTCAGATATAGGACTAGGATGTTTGTTTTTTAAGAGTTTAAGTATTATTGTTTTAACTCATGTTTTCTCTGCCTATATGTTCCTCTCTTCTCCTCTCATTATACTTTCTGAACCTTACCATTGAAATGTGTGCCCTCACCCACCTCCAAACTATCCCAGACTTCTTTGCTTCTTCCTTGGGATATTGACATCCTATGAACCACCCAGGATGCCAAGCACATGGTAGACCCTCATAAAAATGTTGTAGAATGGACACTGAATGAGTACAGTTGACCATTGCTCTACCAGGAGCCTCTCCACCAACACACCGGGTCCTGGGCTAAGTTAATATTCACCAGAGAAGCACAGGCTGCCACTAGAGATAAGAGACCATAATTCTCATTTCCTCTCCACTGCTAAGCAGACACACAGGCCTTGGCCAATTATTCACCTCCCCTGACTTTGGTCACCTCCACTGTTTACAGTACCTTACTTGCCTCGAAGCACAAAGCTCATCGGAATAATTCTGTGAGGTCTCTTCTAGCTCCAAACTATGACATATCTTTGGTTGAATCAAACCTTTCTTAGTCCCACACAAACAGCAGGGTTTGGGAAAAACACAGAAAATCATATCAAGGTGCTGTGAAAAAGATATGTGATAATGGACTGACAATAATCATCTGATTTAAGTGGATTAAATAGGTTGCATTGCTCATCCCTGATTATGATTACAATTAATACTCATCTGCTTCTGAAGAACCTACAACACTGTTTCTTACCTTTTGAGTTCCTGTCATGGTATGACCGGCCTCGATAATGGGGTGTGTCCAAGTACAGATTCTCCAGATCTTCTTGCCATGATTCGGGACTGAAGTGCTTGAGCAGGTCTTCCACCTTATCAAACTGTGCAACGGTTTTGTCCAGAGCATCCGCCGTGAGAGTGGGGTCCGTTACTGATGCAGAGTGATAGGATACCCCCTAAGAGTGACATACAGCTCAGTGAACTCAGAAAAAACCCATTGCTGTGAAATACAACAGTCAAACAACTACATGGAAGAAACATACACAAGATTGTGATTATAAGATACCATGTGCATAAATATTATGCTACAGTACTATTTCTAAATAAGCAAAATTAATTGGTAAATGACAGTCAATCACTTTTTTTTGCAAATCCAAACCAGGCAGATTATAAAACCTCCACTTCATCGGAATTGTAATCATTAAAAAGGACACAGGCTAGATGGAAATATTAAAATTAGGTCATCCGATTTCTGGTTCAATGTCCCACATCATTTATATCAACAACCAATGGTAAACAATTAAATTCTAAACTCCTCCCACACAAGTTTGCTCATCGGGGGATTCTCTGGTTCAGCCTCGTGCTGGTTTACAGGTCACCCAGCATTGCCAGGGAGTGTGAGTGGGGTTTGAACACTCAGGAGACATCTTGATAAAATTCAGCACTTTAACCAGCTTATTCACTGTCAATAAGGATAATTAGCCGTGAAACTGGCTCTCTTGACTTAAGAGGGGAAGACTCACTGGGAAGCAAATGTACTTTTTTACAGTGCTGTCCCTGCTAGTGACCCGGGTGCCATGAGACCTTGTCGGGAGTACTTCATAAACGGGGAGCGCACGTCACTGGGAGCCTGGGAGGGGTTGTGTACTTTGCTGCAGAATATATCCCCATGTAAGTTTCCAAGCACTTACTTCACTAACCCTTGTACAATCTCGAGGTAAATGAGCCTTGATTCAAATATCTCTGTAAAAATTCATGACCCATTAACAAGGAAATAGAGAGCGCAGTCTCGAACAGTTTCTAAATGTTAACGGAACCACCAAACAAGTAAGATTCCCCCAGGGCAAAATGTCCTATCACTACAGGAAGATGGAAATGAATGAAAACCTGGGTTTCTGCAGCCTAACTGCAGGACCGCGCTGAGAAGGAGGGGCCCCAGAGTCAGGGCGGAGCTGGCCACCCTCCGTCTCAGGGACCCGTCTCTTTCCAGCCAGGCCAGGGGTCTGTGCGCGACGCCACCACCGCTTGCACTTGCTCTGACAGGTGAAGTCTCTCTTTAGCAAAATGAAGTGTGTAACACTTTCCACAATAAAGAAAAATTAAAAAAAAATTTGTTTTAAATGTCTGAGAAAAAAAGACCAAGTGTGTAAACAAAGTCAACTACCACTGGCGTCATTGGGGGGCGGTTTTCAAACATGCCTTTTGGGCAGAGTGAGTGGCGGGGACATGGGGCTTGGGAGCAGGGTGGGGCTCATGAGACAGACGGGGAAGGCGAGGCCTCTGGTCACACTAGCGTGTGCGTGTGTCTGATGTAAGCTGAACCCTGACTGAAGCCCCTCCTTTCCCGTTCCCGTCCCTCTTCACATTGCATGCTGGAGGGGGCTAATACTGGGATTCAGTACCAGGATTCCAAATTCCCATTCCAGTCGTGCTGTCTGGAGAATCTGCTGTCTACCTGGCTCATAGTCACCAGATGATTTACAATTAGCCTTGTATCATCATCATGTGGGTCTCAGTCCAAAAAATCAAAATAAGCTGGTCAACATTCATTGTATGGGCAGCACATAAAAGCTTTGAAATTAAAATGCTTCCCAGGGTTTTAAAAATAAAAGCAGGGATATCCATCAAGCCATTCCACACAGACAAAAGCTTCACACAATGGCTCTGGGGAGCTCCAGGCAAGGGGTTCCTGGGGTTGCTCCTAACTGTGCCTGGAATGTAGTGTGTACCCGGATAGCTCCTCCAGAGCAAGCTGTGGGGGGGCTCTTAGTCCCTGAGGGGGGAGGAAATGGAATCTCTTTAACATTAGTCTGAAAGGCAAACCCAGCCCACAGACAAAAGGTAAGATCGCCTTATGTGTGAGCTTTGCTGCTGTTTTCAAGTTTTGACTCAGGACAACGGACAGAAACACAGATGATGGCGAGGAAGATGTTTATGAGTGACTGGATGGCCGAATCAACCCATGGGATCATTTTGTTTCTGAGGTAATTATTTAAAATATATTTAACAAATTCTAAATCTAACTGAATTACCTTAAAATGATCATTTGTAAAAAATGCTTGCCCTGACCAGTGTCGCTCAGTGGTTAGAGTGTCAATTCCTGGTCAAGGGCATGTACCTGGGTTGCAGGTTTGATCCCTGGCCCCGGGTCAGGGCATGTGCAGGAGGCAAAACATTGATGTGTCTCTCTCACATCGACGTTTCTTTCCCTGCCCCCCTTCCACTTTCTCTAAAAATCAATGGAAAAAATATTTTCAGGCAAGAATTAACATAAAAATAATGCGCTGAGGACTGTAAACGACTTTCAACAAAGACAAATTATGGTTCACGCAAAAGTTAATGGTAGTCCAGGGGCCCTTGCTCCTCCTTCGGAGGTTCTTGAGAAACAGTGCTGATGAAAGGAGTCTTGTCTGTCTGTCCTGGAGGACTGCTCAGAACCTGGGTTAGCAACTCAGCCCGGGGAGTTTCCAGCGGATGTGGACCTGGGCTGGGCTTCCACAGAAACTCCGAAGAGATGGGGAGACCCCCTCTTTTAGAGGACCTGGGTGGTCCTGCATTAGCCAAGGGGCCCTGTAAGCTTGGTTGGGCACTGCAGGCAGCACTGGGTAGATAGCCCCGAGCTACCCGGTGTACGAAGCTTCAGAAGTGGGAGGACCTCTGTGCAGAGCAGCACCCTGTGTTCTGGCTGCAAAGCTGCCTCCAGCATCCGCCTTGAGCTGCCAGTCTCAGGCTCTGACCGTCCAAGCCTCCTGCTCGGCCTCCCAGCTCCGCAGTCTCACCTGCCTTGTTTTTGTCGTCACCTGCCTGGCAGTGATTTCTTACACTTGGCTGGGTTCAGAGTGCACACTCTGGACTGTCAGACCAAACAAAAAACACTCTTAAGGCCACTCTCAGAGGCCTCACTGGTCTCTGGCTCTCACCATGTGGCTCCAGCAGTCACACAGCGGAATTAAATCCCCAGTCTCCATAGCTGAGGAAGTCCTGCCATCTGAGGGAATTAAAAAAACAAATCCCCCAGAGAGCTTAGCACTTTTTTTGGAGAAAAAAGTCAACTCCAGTGACTCGGCCACACGGAGCCACTTTAGAACCATGGAAAAGCTTCTCCATGCTCCTGACCTTTCAACGAACAGCTGCATTTATTATCTTGTACTTTATTGCTACATAAGTGCTACCTATAGAATTGGTGAAAACATGGCCTGTTCTTTCTGTACAAAGTACATAAGTAGACAGAATACTGAGAAATGACTGAATTAGGAGAAAAAATAGGGGCATGAACCATTTTAGTTTCAGCATGAGTTATGTGTTATTTCCAAGTCAAATAGAACACATGCCTGGTTTGCACTTAAGTTATCTTACTGTAAACATTGGAATTTTTCACATCTAAAAAGGTCCTTGAAAATGCAAATGTTAACAGTTTCTCCTGGAATATTAAAAAAAAAAAAAAAAAAAGATTTCAAAATTCCCCTCTTGAGCTTGGGCCAAGTTTGATACATTTGATGTGTCTGCACAGACCTTTCGTTGGAATGTTCTGCTTTGAAACTGATAAATACGTAAGCCATTGTCTATTCCATGTTCCCGTATGAGTACTGGCATTTCCTGAAAGCTTTGTGAAGAGGGGAAAGGACATCTGACAGAGCCCAGGGGACCTCCGGAGAGAGAATACATCATGCTTGGAGTGTGGCTGTGGTCAAGCTGTCCGTCCTTACTCCTGCTGCTGTCTCTGGGCTGACCGGAGCTGCGCCATCAGGCTTTCTCACTGGCAACAGAAAAATAAATTACTTACTGAGATAGAGCTTGTGACCGACTCCCAGTTGGTTTCTGAGGCTGCTGCGGGTTGGAAATCTTCCTAGAAGGCAAAGGAACATCCGTGTGAGTCAGTCATTCCTCCGGTCAGTTCATTATGTGCACAATTTCAACATCGCAGCCATCGGAATCTTCTCACTCAGAGAAGCAGGAACAGGGCTGCATTCCCACTGCCCGGTCACCACTGGTCTTGAGCACCTCCCCTCGAGACGCGGCGGCGGCACCCGCAGCCACCTGTGGGCTCTGGTGACAGGGAAGTGTGCAGGCAGCTCAGGTTTCACTCGGCCATCCACTGGCTGTGGGGCCTCGGGCACCCTACTCAACCCCTCCAATCCTCCTCCTCATCTGTGAAAGGCTGGTATGGGGCACTTACATCACAGGGTTGTTTTGAGAATTGATTCCATTAATTATGTAATTATAACCAGCACTTAATAAAGTACTCAAAGAACAATATTAGTTATTATCAGTATTAATATTTATTTGGTTCGATCATATTCACTCCTGCCTGCTGAGCTAGTGTACAATATCAGTGATCTTTTTCAAGATAAATTAACTGACAAAGGGCTATTCTTGCCTGCATCGAGAAATGTCAGGAAGAATGACGAGGGAAGAAAATGACCGTGGGGGTGACAACATGCTCTGCCCTCCGGAAAGGAAGGTAAAGGGCAGACGTGAGAAAGTTATTTATCTCAGGGAAGCCACAAAGGACATGTGGTAGCAATGGACCTCAGAGAAGGAAACTTCTCTTAAAAGGCAAACTCTCTCCACTTTGTATATGACTTTCATGTTAATTACTCCTGCACCAGGAAGTTCAAAAAACACAATGGGAAGAAAAGCTGATTCTACCATTTTTACACGTCACACACAGTTTCTTGATCTTGCTAACATAAATCATCTTATTTCCTCCAGCCTGGCGAGGGGGTGGAGGTATTTTGAGATATTGCTGAGAACAATTCAACCACCAAACATGTCAACTCATTTACCCAAGTATGGTCACTGAGTGAGAACAAAGTATCAAGACTCTATTCCATTAACGTTTTGAGGAGCTGAAGCACATTTGTTACTGGTGTATATACAAATGTCTGTGATGTAGAACATTTTAACTGTTTATCAGTTACGAGTCAAGTGTGGGGTTAAAGGAATGAACATCATTATTGTAATCTCAACCTCATGGAAGATGGGAAAGAAAGAAAACATGGGCTCTGCACTCTGCAAGACAGATTGGACACGAAAGAGGACACTGAGTTCCCACAGCAGAAGGCTGTGTGCAAACAAATGAAGGTCAGAATTTTTGGAGTCTTCTAAAGCAGGTGAGCCGGTGAGCCTGGGTAAGGGCCAATGACTTCACGTCTTGAAGGGACTGTGGGTAGGAAGGCATATACTGGATAAGACCAACATGAGCAATCCTTAGATTGTAGAATTTTCATTTTCCCTCACTGATTCAGTAGTTGTTAATCACCTACTAGGTGATACATTCTAAGCTGAGGATAGACTCACAAAGGCATAAGAAACTATCCCCATGCTCAAGGAGTTAAATATGTAAACATATAAAGAGACAGGTGCAATAGACCCATGAGGGTGCTCTGATATCAGACTAATCAGAATACCATGGAAGGTAGTAGAAAATTCACTTGGAGAACAAGTGGGCTTGGAACAAGTTTACATTGGAAGGTGACTCTTGATTTGAGTCTTGTAGGTCAGATAAGTAGATAAGTAAGTAGACGGTTACTTGCAAGAAAGGTGGGGTACCAGACTCAGTCAAAAAGAGGACAATTCTAGACAACATATGGAAAATATACAGAAAAAGAAGCAAGTTACTGGGGAAAATTAATGCAGAACATAGTGTGTTTGAGGTGTCTATATGATATCTGGGTAGAGATGTGTAGGCCATTTGCAATATGAGAAGGGACCTCATGATAGACTTGCACTTCAGATGTAAATTTAGTAATTGTCATCACAATAATGGCAATTAAAGCAAGTCATGGATTATGATAACCGTGTAAAAATCAGAAAAGAACAATCTAAAGGACTTGAAACTGGAAAGAATTTTAGAATTCTCTAGTCCAGTCTCTTCATTTTAATGATTAGAAAGCCAGTTCTCAGAGAGATAAATGATGTGCTCTGTATTCCACGGCCCGCCTGGTGAAGCTCGGACCATCAGAGCTTATTTTTGAGTACAAGCTGCACGGTCATGTTGACATCATTACAACTGGCTGGAAGGAAAGTGTCTACAAGAGGAGTGAACAGAAAAGCAGGACCCACAGAAAGCAGAGTGCCTGCCAGGGGAAGGTTCTGTGATGATACCCTTCACAGTATTCTTAGTTATTTAGATTTTTTGTGTATACTTAGTAAAAAGTCTGTGACTTCAGCTTGATTTTCTTGCATAGACACATGATAAAAATATTCTGTTAAACATCTTAAATATAAAGGGCCTTTCATGCTTGTGAACCTCAATAAATTACACAAAGAACTTTTAGCTTTTTCATTATCTTGACTTCAGGATTCCAGGGACAAATTCCAGGATTTAATAGAGACAAACGATAAAAAATTTCATTAAGATCCAGATAAAATGTAAATTTATCTTCTTTTAGCAACAGGGATATTAGACATTCAAAAGAAACCAACCTTTGTATGCTATTTCAAAATCTGTCATTATTTATAATGACATTTAAAATGAACTTATGAAAGAGAACAATATCTCTTTTAAGAATAAAGCACAGAACCTCCAAATTTTAGCCCTGAAAGGGGAATCTTGTCATGGGAAGGAACATAGCAATTTTACTTTCTAATCTATCCTTAATATGATCATTTCTCATCTCTTCCATAACCACCTCCCAAGTCCAAGATACCAGCCATTTTCCCAGCTGCCTGTCAGCTTTCTCCATACTTCACTTCTTTCCCTAGAGTCTACTACGTTCTACATGACAGCCAGGTGGTCTTCCCCCTCTGCTGTACTGAGAAATAACTGACATAAAAAATTGTGTAAATTTAAAGCATATACTGTGATAATTTGATACATATATATTGCTAAATGATCAATTACCAAAATAAGTTAATGTATCCATCACTTCACATAACTACAATTGTATGTGTGTGTGTGTGGTGAGAACATCTACTCTCTTAGCAACTTTCAAGTATATAATATAGCATTGTTAACTTTAGTCACCACGCTGTACATTACATTCCCAGAATATATCCATCTTATAACTCGAAGTTTATACCCTTTAACCAACATCTGTCAATATTCTCCACTCCCCAGCTTCTGGCAACCATGAGTTTAGGTTTTGTTTTTAGATTCCACATATAAGTGTCTGGTTCATTTCACTTAGCATCATGTTCTCAGGGTCCATCCTTGTGGTTACAAATGGCAGGGTTTCCTTCGTTCACATGGCTGAATGATATTCCATGGTGTATATTACATGTAATATGTATCAAATTTTCTTTATACATTCATATAAACATGGGGGTGCAGATATTGCTTAGAAACAGTGATTTCCTTTCTTTGGGGTGTATATCCAGAAGTGGGATTGCTGATCATTTGGTAGTTCTAGTTTTAAATTTTTGAGGAACCTCTATGCTCCAATTTCTCTGGTTTCTTGTGTACATTCAGGGATGATGTTCAGCTCCTTCCTCTCAGCACAGGTAAAGCTGTAGTTTATAGCCAGAGTCATTCTGATAGGTCAGTGTCTATGTCATACTCTTTGCTTCATATTTTTAATATCATTCAGGGTAAACAGCTTGCTTTTTCAAGCTCCACACTAATGGAAGACAAACTCATTTTTGTGTGGGTGCCCTTAGCATTACCTAAGAGATGCTAAAACAGAGTGAACACTGAATAATCACTTAAAATGTATCATAAACAATCCAGCTTAAAAAATACATTTCTGTTCTTTGTTACAGTAATTTCAGATAAATTCTTTAAAAATCCATGTCCCATTCTTCTGAGGAGAGACAGCTACTTCCAAGAGATAACTATTTCCAAAAAGTTGGTACAAATTCAGCCTGAATTTCCTTGCCTCCTGTCCATGAACTGTACTTTTAGAACATTCCATACTAAAAGAAAGAAGCTGATACATTGGTTACTTTGTTCCCATTGTCCATGCAGGGAATATCTGTACTTCGGTGTGAGGCTGTCTAAAGGACTCCTTTGAGAGAGGAGCAAACTGACACTCAGCCACACAGAAGGCCCAGGATCCCCAGACTAATTATTACTGGAGTCAGGACTAGAACCCCATAAACTATTGTGCATCTCTTAGTCACATGTTCTTTTCTAAGCACAAATGCAAAAGTCAAAAACATAAAAATTGGCACACCTCACATATACAAATGTTGTGCAAATCCAAAAATACCAAAACAAAATTGAAAGCACAGTGACAAACCAGCAAACATACTTGTAACAGATATAACAGCATTTTTAAAATAAAATAAATTCACAAATCAAAAGTGTATAAAAGAGTATGTTCTACATCATACAATTTTGCTAGAAAAATGTACAGATATCTGATTGAAACAGGACTCAAACATCCTCACACACTTATTGACATTGTCGGCAATGAATGATGGGTGACTTTTTTTTTCCTATTGTGAAAATTATTAAAAGAGACCTCAACCAAGAAGAGCCTGTAGGGGGAGCTCTCATGCCCTACCACTCATCCCTGGTTGCCTGGAACTGGAAGAGAAGTGCTGTGCATCTCCAACAGGAAGGTGTTTTCTACTCTACAGTACTACCCCAGGAGGAGGAATGAAGATTTTCTCCTCCCACGGCAACAGCCCAGCCAATAAGAGGCTGTCACAGCCCACCTAATGAAAAGCCACTACAATTCAAACTCCCAGTTACCTCCAATGGACTCTCTGTTTATAACAGCCCCTCCCAACGTGCCCTTTCTGCTGTAAAGGAATGTTCCTCTCATTTGTTCTCTGGACTTGCCTGTGGTTTTTGCCATAGCTTGCATATCCCGAATTGTCATTCTCTGCTGTTCCTGAATAAACCCAGTTTTACAGTAAAATAACAAGGTTTTACTTTTAAGGTCAACACTATATACA